ACGCCGCAACGGGGGCGGGGCGGGGCGGTGGCAACGGCCGGTCGAGCGAAGCGGGGGCAGGCTGCAGTGGCTTCGCTCCCCCCGAGAATTACAACACTTTATTATGAAAGTCTTCTGACGCACTTCCCGGAAATTCCTTTCATTCCATTCAGAGCTGGAATGAAATTAAGCTGACATGTAAATTGAATATTTCATTATCATTTATAATTGAAATATTTTTCATGCCAACCAACCACAAGGTTAGTACGAAAGAAAAATGTTCAGAGACAACATAATTAATCCAATTTAAGAACTAGACCGTAAAAACCATCGAATCAATTTACTCTTACTACAATAAGAAACACGCCCACTCAACATTCGTTTCTCAGGGATGTTTTCCCTAGGAACAAGCTCCCTAAGTGTGTCGTTGCGGATTGCCAAAGCGGTGAATTTTTTTTCTCGTGCGATCTCCGTCATTCAGCACACGTATCGTCCCTCTTGTCCTGCACACCTGAGTCCTCGCCCCCGAAAGGGGTCGGGCTGCTGCTGCTGCTGCTACTACTACTACTACTACTACTACGAAAAATCTGCATCACAATACGACGCAGAGGAAAGTGAAATCCGCGTTGCCCAATGCTTCTTACTAGAGGCCGCCTCTCGCTCCCTACGCGCATTGTAGTAGCGAGAAATTGCCGGTGGCCGGGTCGCTCTTGGAATCTGCCGACGTCTGAAAAACGAAAACGTGTAAAGAAAAAGATATAAGTGAGAAATGTAAAGATAACAAACAACAACTGAACGAATATTTGATGTTCACTCTTTGGTAGGATGCTAAAGGTGATTACGGAATGCATATGAACCACACGATTGTCGCAGGGATAACTTCCCATATACCATTTCCATGCAGCGTAAAAGTCTTATATTCTTCTGTAGTTTTTCTCTCTTCTTTCAGCCGATACCTCTAGGCCACCATACTAGACACTCCTCCCTCCATTGTTCTCTTTGCTCTCCCTGAGGAACCTTTATGGCTGATGGGCGTTGGAATGCCCGAACCTCGAAACGTGGCCCCCTTTCTTGGATGCATGCAGATGCCGCCGCCATCACAATCTGAGGAATGCTCCGCCGCCTCCAGTGTCCTTCGAGTTGTCGTAACTGACAGCCTCGAGAAAAGCAATCACGGAAGCGTAGCGGCCTTTTAAAGCGTTCTAGGGTCCGTCGACATGTGGGGGCACGCTTTTCTCAAAGAGGCCAGATATACTGCTGGTTCTTAAACTCGTAAACGCTAGAATTGCAATAAATAATAAGTAATAATATCAAGGCTGAACCCTTATTTTAATGGCAATCAACAGAAGTTATAAGAGCAGTTTTGAAGAAGGGAATAAAAGAAAAATTGAATGTTTACTTACAATTGAAGTAATCAAAAACTGAATTAAAGGAATTGAAATTGAACTCTGTCAATCAAAGTTGTATCGGATCTAAAATCAATAAACTCTTTTCCAAAACAAACTTATTTGTCTTACATCTGAAACCACGATCCGCACACTGATCTTGTTTTCTGCGCAAAAAATCACGTACGAAAATCGAATCAATATTTTTATTTCAATTTCTCAACGTATCAATGTTTTCGAAGCAATATCACGGGGCGAGAGGATACATCTCGTGTTACTTCCATCCCCAGGAATTAGGCGCATCCAATTGCTGAACAATTGCATGTCGCAGGCCTATAGAACGTGAACCTTTTCCAGGAAGTCGCTAAGCACATAATGAGGAGAGTTAAAAATAAACAGAACTGCCCGAATGAGAAGTGCCAATGAGGGGAGATGAACAAACCACTCAGGACTAAATACTACTTTATCTTTCACTTCTCTTTTCTTCCAATGAATACATTTAATTGTTATCGCGTAATATTTTAATGTTTCATGGATATTAATAGTATTTTCAATATAAGAAACAATAACTGTTCCTATTATGCATTTCCTTTTTCGCATATCAAAATCTACACAGCTGAACTATCATCTCCCCCTACCACAACTTGAGAATACTACCAATACATTCCTTTGTTTTGTCATTTACTGCATATTCTTAGAAGAGCGAGAGAAAGAAACGCGTTAAGAGATAACACGGGGGAAATTGTAACAAACTCTCAAAAGAAACTTATCACGAATGTTCGTGATTTCCTGTGCAACACAATCACAAGAAAAAACGAACTTATCCTACATTAGTAGAAGGGGCGGATCTCGAAACGAATTTTGGGAGGGGAAAAGTCGAAATGTTTTCGTCAAATATATATTTTACAGATTTTGTAAAACGTCGCAGGCTACACTCAGCTCATGCCGCGATACGATTTTATTCATTTTAATGATAATCCAAAAATAGTTTTGCTTGAAAGTTTTGTGACAAGTTATAATTAATAGTTACTGAACAATTTTAGGATCCTCGCTTGTTAGTATTGGTGAAGTTCCACAGACTTTGAATAATTCCAGCTGCACAGAATTGCAAGGCCGTAAATCATGTAAACAAACTTTACATTCATATAATTATAATGCTTCCCTAATATCACACATAAGGAATTACATTGCGCCTGAGGAACCTAACCCTAAATTGTGCCTGACGTTCGACGACTGGCATGGTTTTTTATGAACCACAAAATCTTAAAAAACTTAAGAAAGAAGAAGGTTTAAGAAGTATATCTGATTTAACGGGTAGATCGAGAGTAGTGAAACGCTGCTTCGTTTAATATTAGGCAATAGATAGCACATTAATTTCTGAAAGCTCCGCGCTACGGCATCTTCATTTCGAAACGCCGTTTTTCGCGTGCGCAGCCCCGGCGGGCGGCGCGGGAGGGATGGGCTGGGCTAGCGGTTGGACCCTGCCCATCTATTCCTGTCGGCTGTCGATTGTGCGCCCGCGGGCGAAGCGCTATTTTTACGAAAACCGTTCGTTGGCTGGAAGGCGGGCGCGCCCGCACTCCCCGCAGCCGCAAAAATCGGGCATTCACTGCATTATCTGATGGGCACGGGCAACGGCGCGACGCACGCTGGCCCAAAATGGGTCGAAAGGCTCGTATAATTATCGTAATAAAATTTTAAAATCCGATGAACAAAACTGGTTTCCTCTTCGGCGATGAGCGAAATAACTAATGATTTACGAGATAAAAACTTAATTAAAAAGGATAATATAGTAGTGACATTTTTAACGACTGCTATTTGCTGCTTTTGAAATGGCATACAGACAACTCTAAATTTAAAAAGTGAGAAATATCTTTCTTGATAAACCTGCAAGAGAGGGTACACTGCACTAGAAGTGACACCAACGGTTTTTTTTGTTTTTTTTTTTTAAAGGAAATATTGATACAAGAGCGATTCGGATATCACCTGCCATTGAAACGTACGTGGTAATATAATCTCGAAAAAGTGCATGAAAATATGACATTAAGTCCATATTGATTTCTTTTAATGTTTTGATGAATGATTGATTCGACACTGCAAAAAAACACATTCTAATAACTGAACTTTTGATATTATTTCGGCCCACAGGGCAGCGCTGGCGAGCCTTGGGCTGCCCACCAAAGTAAACAGCAACGACAGACAGACCATCGCTTACGACGTCCGGAGAACGAGAACGAACACCATGCCCGAAGGCATGATCTCACCCACATGCGGATGTAGATCCGTGGGTATATGACGTGCAGGTGTAGCAGCATATGACACAGTAGAAACGTACTTTTGGAAGACAGCCACTACACTACGCGGAAGAGGGGCAAAACGTGCGCACGTGGAATTCACGTCGCGATACTACGAGATTCGTACAACGTGACTTGCAATTCGGTGGAGGAATTCGGTCATCTTTCAAGGCCTAAGAACGCCGCGCGTCGAGCGATGAAGGTCGACTTCTGAAACCATTGCCTCACGATTTCTTGTTAAAACTCAAGGCAGTAGATGGACTTACCACGAAACTACGTAAATGATCCGTGAATGTAAGCAAGATACACACACAAGTGGAGCAATGACAAGAAACAACACTGTGTAACCTTGCTAAATGATGCAAAAGGCTGTTCAAATACGCTTTACATTTCTGGAATAGAAGTTCCTAGTCAATTTCTCGAAGTCTGATATCAAATGGTATTGATATCAGAATTCGAACTACGTGTCGAACTTCACGGGCCCAGGCGCGCGATAAAATGAACAGCATTTCAACTTTACGCTTGTTTTGAAAACAAAAGAAACGTCACTATACGTTCCAGAATTTTAAAAGTCCTAGCATACTCAGAGATTACAATAATTTCCATTTGTATGATGTATAATATAAATAATAGTGAACAACAAACATTTGTCAGCTCTACCTGGCGTACCTATATACAATATCTGGGTATAAATGTCTTAAAAAATGTCGCAATCGTTCGTCTAATAAGAACCAACACCCAAACGATGTTCGAAGGTCTGCATTCCTGCGCTTTACGATGTATCATCGCGATAAGATTCAACCAGATAGTAACATTATGGTGAATATGAATGATCGTCTGATAAGCTTTTTTTCATGACACCTTCTACACGTTTCTCAATACCCAAATGCATTGTACGCAAAATAGAATAACTTTTCGACAGAAATAGATGCAAAAACACATAAAATATTGATTTCTGGTCGACTTTTTGTACGTACAAAGAATGGATAAAATAACACTGCAGACCAAGAACATCTTCGCATTGTTTGTTGAATTTTTCTATTCGATTCAGAGATTGGAAGAATCCACGCTAGTGTAATTATGATTACGTTTATCATTTACCCATACTCAGAATTACCAGTTTTAAAAAAATGAACATAAACATCAAAATGAACAACAGGCTTCGGGCAAAACACAGAATACGACAGGAGTGAAAGTCACGACTCCTTTCATTCACGAAGAAGAGAATAGTGTTGCCCTCTCTTTGCACACGATACTATCCTGGCGTGTCTGGTCGGCCGTTACGCGGCGATACTTACGGTTCACGTGGTTGATGTAGTAGGAGCCTATGTTGGGATCATACGCCTCCTCCCAACCGAGCGGCAACTCATTGCCGATGCAGTCCGCGAACGTCTGCGGCTTGGTGAACCTGCAACAGAAAGCCATCCAACCTTAGTCGACAGAACCACCCGATCGATCGGTTGAAGGCTTGCAGATATATTCGAATACTGCAATACCTTACCAAGCCCACCACACAAGATTTTCATACGGTGAAGTTGTTACTTAATGGAACAAATGATTGAATACTTCGTGATTCTGGAGGCATACACATATATGGTGGTTGGACCCTTAAGCATGGCGAATTTTTGTTTTATCACGGATGACGGCGAGATCCGATGCCGACCTATGTCAGCTTGCTGAGTCCTCATTCAGGTATCTTTCAGCAGCGGGGCACCGCCCGAGCTGGGACAAACTCCCAAGTTTTCGTCACACGTGGGAGTGTAGCGCATTTAAGTGTTGGGTGTGTAAGTGCAGGGCGAGAATAGGTCAACGAAGGAGATATCGCACGCAGTCCGTGGCCCGTTTGTTATGTGGTACTGCTCTGGCATTCGCCTGGCGTCGATCGTAGAAAGGAAGAAAAACTACCGAACAGACCAATCGGCCGCTAGAATTCTCCTCCACATAGCGGCTGAATTCCACCGAGCTTTGTCTCTAGTATCGAAAGTTCCGCCACCGTAGGGACTAGAATCCTGGGTCCTCTCGTTTATACGTTCTGTACTGTCACCAGGTGATGAGGAATGGGGAGAAGGGGAATGGGAATGATGAACAAATGAGGAATGGGGAGAAGACAAAAGAGAAATGCAACAGATACTCTTTATCCTTGATTACTAAGTGCCCAGTAATAATAACACCATTACAAGTAATACTGAGGAAAGTTTATAGATGTTTTTCGGCATTTTTCTCATCAATATTAAAATCGTCAGTAACCTTGCACTTTGCAACAAGATTTGCTTTATCTATGCACTACAAATAAAGCAATGGGATGTTACCATTTACATTTTACATGCGAACAAAAATTTATGCAGCTATCTAACTTACACGAAACGTTACTTTCTAGAACTAGAAGCAGTTTCAGATCCGAGAAATGAAGATACCTGGCTCCAAATGCATCGCATTTCCAAGTTTACGACTCGCACAACCACGCTAATTTACTCCCATTTTAAGTTTCCCAGAAAGAAGTGATAGCGGTTTTGATACGCGAACGGCAACGCGATCCTTTTACGGCCCTCGCGGCTCCCGTTTGTCCGCCCGCTATCACCGCCTAGGCGTCCTCGCCTTGCCTCGCGGTCGCCGCCTCCGCCGCCGTCGCCGCCACCGTCACCGACCCGCGGGGACGCAGGGACGAGTAGAGTCATAAAAAGGCCCGGAGACGGCCGATTCTATTTCGGAATGCCTCATTATCTGAAAAAGGAATGCCTACGACGTCGAACAAACAGTTCAAACGCAATAAACGCGCCCCCCGAAATCACGTGATCTCCGCCTATTTGGGAGGCGGGCAATAAAACCGGGAATGCGCCGCACCATTATCTCCAAACAAATCCTGGACGAACGACCCGGCGACGGACGGACAGACGCACACACGCGTTATGAGGGGGACATTTTTTCCCGGCGCCCGACGAACGTACGCATTATGAGGGGAGGGCCAATCTTCCAACGGCCATCGGCGCCCCGTGCAGCGGCTGGGCGCGAGAAAGAAACCAAGGGGAGGTGCTGTACCATGTTCACGTTTAACGATAGTGTAGAACACACAACATTATTATTGATTTAGTACATCGTTATTCAATGATTATGAATATTGCGGCCTCTAATTATTTTAAATAGTTTTGTTATAAAATAACGGTGGTTGATTTGATTGTCCTCATTCCACCGAGTTCGTGTTCGGCCGTGATATGCGGTAGGCATCTTATTTGTTAAATTAATAATTAGCGATAGTTATTGGACGTTTGTAAATTGTATAATTTGGATATCAGGTATGAGCATCTGGATATAAGCTCAAAATTAGTGAGCACTAATAGAAATATTCGTAAGTTAGATACTGAACTCCATTTAAACGTATTGAAGTTGCACCACCAGTGAGAATAAATTGTAGTAATAGCTTGAAAGGGATGTGTCCATTAATTTATTGAGGATAAACAATCTTTAATACATAAGCTACCAATTGGCTGTGGTAGGCTAAAACATTTAAGTGTACTTATTCAACAACAAACTTTTTCCTCTATGGTGTTGGATAGTGCTGACTTGGATTAATGATCTGAGAAACATTACCGAGCATTACTTCTGATAACAATCGGAAAAAAAAGAAAGAAAAAAAGTTTGGGGATAAATTTGGCGTTACGATTAGGGTCGGGTCATTTTTGCGTCTTTGGTTTCATAATAAGAATTTTTTTGGTAGTACTACCATTGGGTGATTCAAGGTGACACCGCTATCAAAGCGATAAAAATTCGGAGCTAAAACGTACCATCGAAGAAACAAATCAGATGTTTTTGCGATAAGTTGTAATGAACACCCAACCGAGAATTCATTGAATTGATTGACTGGAATCAAAACTGTCTGTTAAAAAAAAAGTTCGACAGCAAACTGACAAAAGGGTTAAGTACCTACTCGTAATTATTACACTCCTAAAGCAAATAATCACGCTCACATATTCATTTAAAGCACTGAAACCTGTCAATCAAAATCAGTAAAGAGATTATCAAAAGTGTAACTGAAGAAGTGGGTCCCTTTTCTGTATCTTCACAATTTCGTTCCTGTCCACCGATAATACAGTTCTACAACATATAAGCTAATATTTGTGACATTTCACAGCTGTGATACCATTCCTACATTACTCAGAAAGAGTAGAATAACGAACTAAATTATATACGAATAAGTAATATAATAGGGCAAATACATAAAATTATACGAATGGAAAGAGTAATAAGTACCGTAAAACTGATAATGCAAATTAAAAGGAATATTATTAACGGAATTATGCAAACAAACGGGAACAATAAGTTAGGCAGAAATTCGTAGGATTGGATCCAATTCGTACGATTATATAATTCTAAAATATCTAATTCACGTATGTTTAAAGCAATGTTAAATACAATTCAATCTTTAATTTGAAAAACCCGTCAAACGCCGAAATATAATAGACGCGGATTATTGCTCCAAGCGGATAGAAACAGTTTGCTGCATATTATTTAGAAAAGTTTTCCATTTATCAACTGCTTTAAAATATTTTGAAATCAGATAAATCGGGAGACTTTTTCTCAGTTTTCTCGGAATGAGGAATTTGGTGTTTGTGGTGTTTCTGAAATAAACAATTCAATTAACATCGTCTATTTCTATGATCACAGTATCCTCCAATATTACGATTGCTAAAAAGAAAATAGCAAGATCAAAACATAAGTTATGTTATCCCAATGGACGTTTTCTGTTTCTTTTCTTTCAAAATTAAATCGTACAATAGGGCTACGCGTACCTATATTATTATTATTATTATTATTATTATTATTATTATTATTATTATTATTATTATTATTATTATTGCTATCTTTACTTAACGAAACTTGAGTGAGCCGTTCGCGCTCGGGCCCCGTGCTGCAGAGGGAAGCCCGCAACGCCGCCCGAGCGGCACGGGCGCTGCGCGGGTCCTCGCCCTGCCAGGCGAAGGGCGCCACGCGCGCGCGCCTCCAAGTCGACTGACGCGAGAAGTGGCACGAGACCTTGGGCAGCTTACAACGCCGACGCGGCGCCGCGCGGCGCGGCGGACTCGGCATGAAACTTGAATCTCAAGTAGCCCATCTCATTATGCGGTACGCCCAATTCGGCACTCAAGGTGTTTATAGGGTAGTACAGAGTTCGAATTCATGGACGCCGCGATTACGTTTCAAGAGGTGCGTCTCGCACCGCCCTTCTTTACATTGCGTGCACGTTCGATCGCAGTGTTTAAGTGTAATGCGGCGTGCAGCGGACGCGCTAGAAAGACAACCATTAGGCGCGATGTGCCCAGGTAACGCCTTTCCTGTATTTGTGACGAAACACGTTGAATGTGAGGCGACACGCCCGATAACAGAAAAATTCAGACATGCGTCAGACGAATAACACCATCGTCAAGGCGTCACAATAAATCGTTGCTGATTAGTCGAGATAAGTAAAATATGTGATGAACATATCGTGGCCGTTGACAAATGCCGAACCTAAGAGAGGACGTAACTCTTTCGCAAGAGGGACTGTAATTAAAAAAAGGTTAATATAAAAATCAGACAATGTACAATTTGACATAATCTCCACGTTCGAATCAATAAACAAAATGAATACATACGTTAGCGGTCTAAAACGTAAGGTGACATTTTGTCTATTTTTCAATGGCATTTGTAGACACGCATGTATCGCATAAACGAACTAACTGAATGGACAAAAAAACTAATGAACTATCACATCGAAAACTTATTTACACCTCTCAGTTAAACCAACGTCTGAACTGCTTTCCCTGGAATGCCACAGTTTGACTAAAGAATCGCAAAATGCTATGAATACGTCCCGTCGACAACTCTGACCCTGGATAGGTAGCGTTTATTTTTAGCCTCCTCCACCTGCAAGAATGTGCACGAGCGCATACAAGCACAGCCGGTCTGGTTCGAACGAAAGCCTGGCGCCAGTGGCTGGTACCCTAGCCACTTCCAACAGAGGAGAGTTTTCTTGAAACAAGAAAAACCAGGCAACCGCTGAGAAACGAAGAGAAGAATATGGGCAGCATGATATAAAAGAGGAAGATATTTGAATGTGAGAATGACTTAGTGGAAAGGAAGAAGAAAATCGTAACACAGAGTAAACAAGCAAGAATAAAATGCAAGATGAAGACCGAAGCGCCGCGTTCAGAAGATGACCCCCCCCCCCGCGCGATTTATTTCCAGCGCCGGCGGGTGAGCCACCGGGGAGGTTATTATACCGTGATCAAGGGTCACACCAACGACCGGGGGGCGTGCCGCACCTCCGCCTCTTCGGGAGGTAGCCGGTTCGACTTCCGGTAGGACCGGTTGGCCACGGAGAGGTTTTCCCTGCTTGGCTCGCTTTCTTCAGCCGGGGCGCCGGCGCAGCGACAG